GCCCACCATGACAATCTTCCCTACCTTGAGGGGCCAGGCGAAATAGTGGCGTCTCATCTTCATCATCCATATTTGTGCGACACGCCTTCCCTTTGTTGCCGTCCCCGTTCTGCAGCAATGGGGCCGAAGTAGACAAGGAAGCCGTCGGAGTTGTGAGTCCACGGGGACATCCCCCGACTCCGTACACTTCTCCCACCGTGCACATATCCAAATTATGCCGCGTCTGCATCTGTGGAGAGCCTTCACGCACCTCTCCCTCGCGCTGGCCAAGGAGGTCTTCATCATCATGGATGGACGCCCAAGGTGACTGGGGGTCGCCAGGACGACGCCCACCGTGACAAGATTCCCCACCTTGGGAGGCCAGAAGAACTTGAGCGGCATGCGAAGAGTTCGTGGATGGAGTAGCCGTTGCCGTAGAACTTGTGGGTCCGCGGGGGAAGCCCCCGACCCCGCGTGCCTCTCCCAGGACACACATAACTGAAGAAGCCGCATCCGTGCCTTCCTGAGCGAAGGGGGTACCAGAGACTGGCCAGCACTGGAAGTGTGGAGTGCGGCTGATGAGCTTCAGGATGCCTGGGTCGAGGTCGGAGTGGTCTGGCGTCGGGGCCGAACTGGCCTTCTTCATGGCCATCACTGTGGAGTACTCAGCCTGGATCTGCGCCTGGTCAACGTTGCACAGCCTGCTGTACATGTCAATCCATTCTGCGCGCTCCGCATCGCTGTTCTTGCCGAAGAACTGAAGTGGCGTGCCCTTGATGATGCCAGAACCAATTTCTTCCAGGCGCCTGAGTATATCATTCTGCTGCTCTGGGTCTAGACCTTTGGCGACCAGCTTGCGCAGTCGAGAGACCAAGGTGGACATCACACCCCATAACTCAGCAGGCTTATCTTTCACATGAACTCGCCCTGGGGTAGACTTAGAAACTTCCCATTGAAGTTGGAACCCGTTGCGTCTGCCTGTGCAATGTCTCTGGGGCGCTGGCTCGACAGAGAGAATAGTCTCCTCCAAGGCCGTGACCCATCTCGCGTAATGCCAATCAATCTGGTGCTGCCCTTCCAAGTCACGTGCCAAAGCCTGAGTGACTGGGATGGGATGGGAGGTGAAATCAAGTCCCTCCTTGAGTAAAGCGTCCGCCTGAGCGAGTCCAAGAGTCCATTTGTCCTCAAGGATGTGGAACTTCGGTTGGGTCGGTTCTTGGCCGTCCTGCTCTTGACTCATCTCTATGAACGCGTCCTGCAGCTGTTCTGGGAGTACTTCAGCTCGCCGTTGAGTCTGCTTTTTCTTCTGCTTGCTACGCTTGCTGTCAGCCTGTGCCTGGAGCTTTGGCTTGGAGTATGCGGGCAAAGTGGGGATCAAGGTAATGCTGCGGTGCCACCACTTGCTGCTGAACCCTGCTATGGTAATCTCCAGCCCAGCATGCGGTCTCCAAGGAACTGTGAGAACCGCCTGAATATTGACAAAGCCCTGGTACCCATCCTTCACTAATGCATAGTCGAACATGCCTCCATTGGTGCCCTGGTCGCAGGTGAAGTGCACGTTGCCAGCCGTGACGATGTGTCCCTGCAACTTGCTGGGCCACTTAGTATTGGTGAATGCGTCTGGCGACATGTTCCAGTCTCCGAGGACGATCCAAGGGTCTCTAATCTTGAAAAGAAAGGCCGACAAGGCCTTGAGAGTATCTGCGTTCCTGCGCTGGACTCCCATTCCTGGGGATAAGTACGTAGAGACTACCACCAAGTTGCCAGATTGCAGGTGCCATATAATGGGAACGAAACCTCTGAATGGGTCTTTGTGTCCCATGGCGATCATATCCGTGCGTATCTTCTCCATCGTCGTGGTAGCTACGAAATTACGAGCCAATATCCATTCGCCTGCTGAGAAACCTTCATGCTTCTTCACTGCTGGTGCGGCTGCCAACTTCCATCCATCCTTCCGTAGTGTCTCGCGCTCCATGGGGATGCGCGCCTTCTCGACGTGGGTCTCCACAAGGGCGACCATCTTGTAGTGCTTGCGAATCTTGTGAACGTACCTGGAGGCTGTGGGCCCCCACTGAGTGACGTTGCCGAAGAACAACGTCGCCTGTGAGTCGTCACCCCCGCGACGGCTGGCCACTGGGTGCAGCAGCGCCATCAGCAGCAGGAGGAGCTTCATGGGGGTGACGACCGACCGCCTGCCTGAGGCCCTCCTTCGCAGCTGAGAGAGTGGCGGGCTTGCCTGTCTTCTTCGCTGCGGCCGCTGCCTCCTTGGACTTCTGGGAGATGGCCTCGCGAGCAGCGGTGGCCTGCTCCTCGGTGAGGAGGTTGGCCGTGCGCTCGGCCGCCGAGGGTGCCTCCGCCGCCGCTGCGCCTCCACCTTTGGCTGGCGGGCACGCGGGCACCTTGGGAGGCGCCGCCTTGACTGGAGGCGGCACAATGGGGGGGGCTGGCGACGTCGGTGGGGCCTGCATGGCAGAGTCAGCACGCGCCGCCGGCGCCGCACCATGCACCGCACCCTCAGGGGTGCGCCTCTTCTTGTTGGCGGGCTCCTCGACGGCCGCCTTGATACTCTTGAGGAGCTCCTCGAAGCGTTTCTGGCCTTCTTGAAGCTCCTTCTGGTGACGAGCAACTTCTGCCTGCCATTGCCGTAGTGACTCCTGCACCGAGTCCTCATACTCATCAATGTTCTCGAAGAGGGCGGAGTCGACCTCGAAGAAGACTGCCGCAGAATCCTTGGGTTCGTGGCGTCTGGGTGTCGGGTCCAAACGCCAGTAGTCATCGTGCGCCTTCGTGCGCTCGGCCTCGGCGGCGAGGGAGATCTCAATCTGGAGGTTGTGGACCCTCTTGGCCTCCTCCAGCGCCTGCTCCGCCTCCAAGAGCCTGTTGGCCGTCTTGATGAGGCGCTGCTCTTCCTGCTCCGCGATGCGATCCGCCCTGAGCATAGCCTGCTTCGCCGCGGACGGGTCCTTGGTGGCCTTCTGCTGCTTCTCGTGCTCTGCCTTGTCGATCTCGGCCTGCAACGCTTGCGCGGCAGGCGTCGCCCGAAGCTCTTCAGGGAGAAAGTCGACCAGGGAAATTGGCGCTGGCTCTCTCCATGGCGGGATGCCTCCGCCATCGGACTTCGGGTACTTCTTCTTGGGCTTGAACACCTCCAGAGGCTTCTTGCAGAACAAGCATTTGCCACCAAGCTCCTCGATCCTCCAATTGTATGTCCACTCGCCACACGAGCACCACGCATACTGCTGAGCTGGCTTCTTGCCCATGACACAGAGAGAGGGCCACAGGATGCTGCGCCGCCGGGCAGCTCACGCAGCGGATCGGTGAAGAACCTGGGGTCTGGCCGCGGACTAGCGGTATCCACTTGTTTCCGCTGGGAAACCAAAACCTTGAGCCAAAATGGCTACGGAGGAGGAGGAGGAGGAGGAGGAGGAGGAGGAGGAGGAGGAGGAGGAGGAGGGGGAGAAGGAAAAGGAGGAGGAGGAGGAGGAGGAGGCGGAGGAGGAGGAGGAGGAGGCGGAGGAGGAGGAGGAGGAGGAGGAGGACCAAAGCAGACCAAAGGTCCAAAGATGCAGACACGAAGTTGCAAGACACTCTCCCGTCCAAAGCCCCCTCGTCGCAGGCACCTATTTTGGGGTTGTTCTGGCCGACAAAACCATACAGGAAAAAGAATTCGAAAACTCATGCAGGCAAAAGCCCACGGGAGCACCGCAGGCTGCTCAGGGCTCCTGGGCAGCGGGGGCCTCGTCCGTACGCCGCGCCATGGCTGCTCGCCCGCGCTGCTCGGCCCCCGCCCGATCGGCAAAGCCCGCCGCCGCTGGCAGGGCGGCAATGCTGGGCGGCCCAGCGCCAAAGGCCACCTGCTCCGCGGCCGTCCCCGCCGCGGCGCCCGCGACCCCGACGGGCCGCATGCCCACCGTGCCCGGCTGCGCGGGGCCAGCAGCGGCCGCAGCTGCAAGCGCAGGCGGCGCAGGGGCGCAACCCCGGTCAAGGCTCGACAGCCCGCTCCCCGGCGCCGTAGCCCAGCGTGCCCTCGCTTCCTCGGACGGCGCAGCTAGAGCACCGATGGGTACCTTAGCGTAGCCCTTGTTCGATGATGGAAGCTGGCCCTGCGTGATGTCGCTCCTGGCTTGCAGCCGCGAGCCTCTTCACGCCGCCACAGGAGGACAGACCTTCTTGAGGCCACGCGCCATGCCAGGCGTACGCGCTAACACGAAGCCACTGGTACAAATCATCACCTCGTCCGGGCCATTCTCCAAGGAGGCCATCATCAGTTGGTAGCCGTTGACCCTCCACGGACTGGCAGCGCCAGACGCCGCGGGCCCCATACCACCTCGAAGGCCGTCCCAGCCGGCGCCACTGCTGAGGGTGCCACGCCGCCGCCGCTGGGCTGCGGCTAGCTGCGGCGCTGGCAGCCGCCGCACCAGCATCCTCCTCCTCGGCAGCCTTCTGGATGGCAAGCTGCATTGCAAGAGTGGGCTCCAGCTCCACCAGGCTCAGCTGCTGGAGGCCGTGAGTGTCCCACACACTGTGCGTGGACAGGAGCTGGCATATCTGGGCTGAGCAGCGCGCCCTCTCCTTGATCTGGTCGTAGTAGCCCTGTGTTGAAGATGTTGTTGCACTCGATGTCCTCCCGCATGTAGCAGTAGAAGTCGGCGGCCACCACCTCGAAGTCAGAGCCGAAGCCAAGACCCAACACAGTAGCCGTCAATAGAACAAAATGAGGATCATCGTGTCATCTTGAAGGTCGATGTCAAAACTTTCCTGATGATCAGCTGGGTGGGCTGCATACCAGAGCCAAGTACAACGCCACTCCAGGGCAGAAACTATTGTCCAGCATCCTGCATCAAAACGTGGTACCAAAAACTTCCCACCATCAAGAACTGCAAACTCTCTCCCGTCTGACAGTATCATGACAGCGATGTACTTGGGGAGGCCCATGGCCCCGCCTCTCTGGAGCAGCCAACGTTTCAGCCCACCGACTGGCAACGAGATGGCCTCCGTCAGTGGGCTGAGTACCGACGACATCACTTCCTCTTCTTGCCTCCACCCTTCGGCTTCGGCTTCTCCTTCAGCGCAGCCCACGAGCGCTGCCCGTCTGGCGTCTGGAACGAGCGGGCCCGCTCGATCACCACCGCCTTTGCAGGATCCTTCCAGAACAGCAGGTTCGATAAGGCCAAACGGAAAACCTCTGGCGCGAAGTCGCTGAAGGTGAGGGTCCACTTCCACGTGAAGTCCTCCTTCAGCTTGTTGTACCTCGTCGAGAACTCCCCCACCCAGAGCTTCAAAGACGGGATGGCCGTCGACTTCAACTCCTTCAGTGCTGTGAGAGTCTCTTTTCCCACTTTGGATTCTTTGATGCAAAATCCTCGAGCCGTGGCAACATAAAAGATACAAAGCTGATGAAACTGAACGTATCCTTCGACATGTCGAGCGGATGCTTCGGGAAGTTGCGCGTCTCGCGCATCTCCTGTGTCACTGGAACCTTCTGGTCCATGTATACTTGGATCATAGAACCGAACTCTGTGGCCGCCGAGTTGGACTTGAGTAAATTGACGATATTCTTCGCTGCGATAGATGGCCTGGCCAGCGCTTTGAATCCCAAGAAATCTCTCAAGAATGACGTGAAGATCTCCTCGTCCGCAGTCGGGGTGGTGTTGCCCGTCCTCTGACGTACCTCGCGCTCGGAGCCCTCCTTCTTCTCGGACATGATCACATCGGAGCTCCCCCCACTGCGGATCTTGGCGGCACGACTGCTGGCGTCCTCCAGACATTTGGCAAGCAGATCAGCAGGCGCCGCCGGCGCGGATGAAGCAGAAGATGCCGCAGCCGCCATCTCGAAATCAAAATATACTGCGCAACCAAAGGTACTCGAGCCCAACATACCAAGACAAAGAGAATCAATCAGAATAACCGAGGGGGGGCACGCTCCGTCGCGATTAAGGCATCGTGGCCACCAGTAGTGGCCCTACGGGTCCCCCCCCTCGGTGATAGTAGTGCTCAAATAATTCAATCCCAATGCTCATACAGTACACTGCACATCTCAGTCCCGCTGCACATACTCCCAGACCAATTCACATAATCTCCATCCCAATGCTCGTACTCTCACTCCAATGCACAGAATCCCAATACCAATGCACATACTCTCAACCCAATACACATACTCTCAGTTCCAATGCGCAACTCATTCCCAATGCTCATACGCGATACACATACATATCATTTCCAATGCACATACTCTCAGGACCAATGCCCTTGCTCAACATATCAATGCACATACTCTCACTGCCAACGCACGTACATCTCACTCCAAGGATTCAGAGAGGGGCTCATGGTATATGAAGGGGTGGTACTTAGGAGGAAGACCGTGGGCTTCAGGAAGAGTACGATGCCACACACCCGTGTTTAGCGATAACCCGAAGAAAGTACGACGAACCTTGCACCCACGTTCATGCTTACATTTACCATGAGCCGTCGCATAGTAAGTACCACAATGCGCACATGGGTGATCCCGAAGACGAGTACGAGTCACCATCCGAGTACGAGTTAACCACATGTCGAACGGCATTTGTACACACGATTTCCGATGAACATACTGTTTGAGCTTACCCTTGGGATCATTTGGGAACACCTGACGACAGAAAGGGCAAATACGGGGCTCCACCGTTGGAGGCTGCTCAGGCGCTGGGAGACTAGACATTTGTGATCTCGTAACTAGTGTTTGAAACCACTCGGGGAGCCCTGAGGAGGATAACCTATAGGTCCAGTTGGTACGACACTTCTTATATCCCGAACACGTCCCACATCCAAGATCCATCCAAAATCCGCTGAAGCAATATCCGTATTCTCTGCATCTGAAACGCTGCTGACACGTCTTACATCTGCAACGTTGCTCCATCCGCACCTCATCCACTGGATTTGTTGCAATCATCTCCTCGAGCAAGGTACGTCCCGCCTCCGAAGGCCAACCGCCTGGAGGGGTAGCAATGCTGCTCGCGCCTTTGGCGCGCGAGGTGATGCAATCCCGTCGTCTGCGGGCAACTGGGTGAGGTGCGGGAGGTGGCGGCACTGGTGGCCCTGCAGCTGCTCCTTCAGCTGGCACCACCGAAGGTCTCGACGCCGCGGCGGGCTGCGGAGCAGGACTCGAAATCGGATGGGAGCCTGCTCCTGTGCCCAGCGCGGCTGCATCTGCGTCTGGCTGAGGGTGAGGAGGATGGTAACTGGGAGGCTGATGTTGTTTCCCTCTACGACGACGGCGAGGCTCAGCTTGAGGAGGAGGCTGTTTTCCCCGAAGACGGTGGAGCCCTGGAGGTCCTGGAGCAGGAAGGAGCACTTGTGGGGTCACGTATCCTTCAGGGCCCAGAACAGGCGGGGGGAGCCGGTGGAGTTCCCGTAGAGCCTGCTGGGATTGTTTGTGTTTGGTCGTCTGCTTCATGAGGCGCTTCTCGGGGGTCTGGCGCTGGCAGTACTGGTAGTGTTCCTTGAAGCCCTTCCAGGGCCAGTAGTCCCACAGAGACGGCACAGGCAAATCCCACTCTCCAGGACTTTCATGTTGTCCCGCTCAATGTTGGCCTTCAGGTATCTAGTCATGCACTTCTCGCGAGCGCCTCCAGGAGCGCGGCGTTGACGCCGCTCGTCCTTTGAAGCTTCGACTCGTGCTTCATGGCGCCACTTTCTCATGACCTTGGCCCAAACCAGACGATTCTTTGCAGCCGTGACCCAAGACGCCCGCCACTGATCCCGAGGAATACCAGAGAAAACGAGAACACCCTCCACGGCTCTCCAGAGGACCTGTCGAATGTTGAGGCGGGCATGTCCTAGGCGTCGGGCTGCTACGTACTCCTCGGAAGGCGCAAGCCACAGGATAGCACGATCTAAACGGTCGTCGGGCAACCTGAGCTGGTGCCCCAGAAATTGTAGGCGACGCCACGTAATATACGTTGAAATTAAATCCAAGCCAAGCCGTTTCCTCAAATCCGTCATCGTCACCTGCTGGTCGTGCATGAGCCGTCTTCTCTGGCCCAGCAAACCCAAAGTGCACTTATTCATGAATCGCTGGTATTTCTCGATCTCCTTCGCTGTGAATGTGCGTGATTCGCAACCAAACAAAAGACAAGCTAATCCAGTAGCACGATACAAGTGTCCCAGAATCTTCTCATCCAGTGAAAGTCGGGCCAATTGGCCCCGTAATCTCCTCCAAAGAACTCCAGCTTTTTGTAATCTCTTCTGGGTGTCGGTCGTGTTCTGGCCATCGCTACGTATCCAAGCTCCTAGAAATCGAGCTGCTGCTGAATACTTCTCATCAATATCCACTGCAGAACACAACCTCTCGCATTTATCTGGATGCACCGTTTCAGACCATTCACCAAGAACTTTCTCCGATAACTTCTCGACACCCTCGTGCTGGGATTTATTCGTAACATCCGCGAACATGATCTCAAATATATGTATCAAACTTTCAGCTGGAGTCTCCTGTCGTATCCGTTCACGTCGCTCTGTACCCTGGCGAAGGGATCCAAACTCGTAATTCTCAGGAAAAGGAAGACACTCTATGCCGGTATACCCCTGCTCACGCGCCTGCATCTTGAAGTCGTGCATGGCCGAAGCGTGGAATATGTTGAACCCCGCGGGCGCCGACGGGCACCCTTCCTTGAAGCCCCTCTCGAGCGTATAACTCTCGGACAAACCATCTCTCATCTTTAGCTGGTACTCCGTGTTCTCGTAAAGACCCCGCATCACATTCCCTAGAGATTCGGGCACCCCTAGGCGCCGTTGGTTCGAATAGACCGCCTCTCGTACCACCCTAGCATATGCTTTCATAATATCCGCACATGTCGTTACCAGAGGGCCCAAGGACGGGCGTTTAGAATAATTGGTCTCGGCCGCCGCCTCAAGTAATAGTCGAACAATCAAGATGGGACCCTGCGCCGCTCGATGCCGTCGAAAACCGAACTGGGTGGGCGGGAGAATACACTGCTCCTCTGCGTAATTTAACGATCTCTTTGCTACCAGGCGCGCAACAATCCGAAGAATAATATTGATGAGCACGATCTGCCTATACATGTCCGGGCCCGCACGGAACCCCTTTCCCTTCCACGCTCATACTCCCAGGGCCTGCTTAGTACAAGGTTCCCACTCCGTATGTTTTGTTCGCCAGAGAGCTTGGATAATCAAGATAACTTCATTCATTCGATCCTCCCCCGCATACTTAATCATATCAATTGTGGTCTCATCCTTGCCTGCCGCGCTTTCTTTCATTTCCAAAATACCATATCTGATCTCATCCTTCGCGGGGGCATGCCCGAGGGACTGGTCCGTCGGGAGGGAAGGCAACCCGCGCTCAAGGACTGAATCTTCAACTCGCCCTGGAGCCCCACTTACATTTGTCAAGTGTGATATCATTTGTGCTGCTGTGATCTGTTCCTGGCCCCCCCTCGATCGATCCGGAACATATACTTTCAATTGCCGCAAATCTCTATAGAAGGCCCCCCAGTCGTTCGCAGCTGCAAATGTCATAAGGTCCGTGACTATTGGCTTTATCCACCTATTACGGGCACGGTGTTTGAAGCGCGCTAGCTGTCGGCCAATCATACGATGTGCCTGCTTGCATTCAGCTTCCTCTTCGGTGGTGGATGCCTGTTGCCACTTCTCCCAGATAGTGGCCCTCTGTCGACGGAGATCTTGAATATGCAGCATATCTTCGTCTGTATACGGGGTCCCTAGTTGGTTAGTAGATTTCCCTCGACCAAGAACAGAATTCGCTCCTGTGACAATGATCTGTGCACTCTGGGCCCAGGACAACGTTGGTGCAATCGGTTCGGCCTCCTGTTGAAGATCCTCTTCCCTGATTTGTTTGAAGAAAGGCGCCTGCCGCAGGGCTGGGCAGGGCAGAAGGCACGGCAGGTGCGGGTGGGGGTAGCCCTGGAGGCGGGAGAAACTCAAGGTCCTCGGGTGGAAGGTCGTGTTCATGCTGAAACTCCTGGTCCAGGTCCTGGAATGGGCCCCCATCTTCGCTGTCAAGTTCGAGGCCAGGAGGAGCCCGTGGAGCCGCAGGTGGGGGGGGGGGCGGCGGGCGCGGCAGCGGGTATGATCACCTTCACAGGATAATCTGACCCAAAGATGGCGCCCCACAATTTGAGATGATGTTTGCAGCCCTCGTCCGCCGCGGCGTCGGCCCTATCGTTGCCGACGTCTCCCGAATGCCCCTCTACGTGTGTCATGGTGAAATCTCTCGACCTGCTCACCTTGCGATAATATGATCTGCCCGTGGAAATAAGGGCTCGATTTGTGCCTGGTCTCCAGCTCCCAACGATCATATTCATAGCATACTTGGAGTCGTAGTGGAGTGTGCTGCGGTCCTGCTCTGTCGTATGTTCCAGAATCCACCACATCGCCATGATCATCGCTGAAAGCTCGCCCGCATTGTTGGTCAGCATCTCGGCGCCAAGAAATATATTTTGAAGAAACTGCGTCTGTGCTAAGACCACTGGACCGTAGTAGTCCGTCCACCTCTGCTCGGTAGCTTCTATCGCCGACATCCCCCACCCAGCAGCGCCCTCGTTCCCTGAGCCGTCCGTGAAGATGTGGATGTGGCGGCACCCTGCACCAGGACACTCAATCCGTGTACTGCTCTCCGTCGGGCGCCACGAGGGTGATGCCTCTAGAAGTCGTTGTACTTCTCGGCGGTAGGATATCCGTAATTGTGCAGCCTCAGGCGAAGGTCCTCTCATTTTGAATACAGCCAATGGTTTCAGGAGCTTCGCC